CGGCTGCGTAAATCAATCCTAGCAATAATTTCCCGGGATTAATTGGCGAGTGATTGACACGGCGATTCGAGAGTCCGCGCCGTACTCCCAAGCAAAGCCTCGGAATTGAATGCGGAAGGATAATTGGTTTCGGCGCGCCAGCAGAAGTAGCCCATACGAAGCTGGTAATAGCGAATTTGCTATCGCAGCGTATGCGAGATTAACCATATATTTGAACTACAAATAAATGGATCCCCCGAAATCTGCAGACTGACGCATTGTCAGAGATTTCAGCGTGAAGTGTCAGAAGAAATTGATGTAAAGAAACTGAGAGAACGGAGCGATAAAGATTAACACGTATATTGATCGCGATTATTATTTCGCAAAAGACATTAAAACCATTTTATGTTCGATATCTTTATGCAAAGAGATCAATTTGGGATTTAATGTATTCCACTCGTGTCACCTCTTAAGTCATGTAAGCAGCGAAACTAGCGATCTAAAATGGCATGCCTTTGCGGCTCGACATAATCGAGATGACAGAAAACTCGATTATACGCTTTAATGTCTCGTATAATTAAAATAGCGCTCTTCGCTGGCTGCAAAAGCCGCGAAATACAATGTGCCGATATAGATGAATATCGATAAGAATTTTTAACTATTAAATTTTAACTTTTTTATCTCAAGAGAAATTCTATCGATATTTTCTTTTTTTTACAGTACTGAGACAATTGAATTGAAAATTACACTGTGTTCCGACATTCGTAACTCGTGTTAATTGAGCGTATTGCCATAAATTTTCCATAACACGCTTTCACATATTAAGACGGAAATTACGATGAACTAATAATGGATATTCCTCTGGTGAGATAAATTTTAATCATGTGGACGTAACTTATAGCGCTTTTGGCTTATTTGAGCTTCGGAGTTACAGCGCAAATCGATTGTTCATCATACTTAATTATGCTCGAAAGCCGAGAGAATGATTTATGAGTACATGAGCCATTTGAGACCATGCAGGTCATATAAACGGGCAATCGATGGGCCAGTAATACTATCTCGACGCATGTTGATAGACGATCTCATCAAACATACTCTCATTTTCAACCAAATTTTCCGTTTTATATATCGTCATCAATATTACGCAACTATTGATGTGCGTTATTGCTAACGCATTAATAAAAGCAATATCTTATCTCGGTATATTTTTGTAAACGCGTTTGATACGACGTTTAAGAAGGCGGTAAACCGATTCGATATCCCGATCGAAACAATTCCTTTCACGTGCACCGAATTAGCGACGAAAGGTGCTTCAACGAACCAACAACGTTCCGTTTTGTCTTTGCTTGTTTTGGGCCGAATCCGAATTATCGGAAAGCAATGACGGAAGCGTGTTCCGGTTCCTTTATCCGATTAATACGGCAGTGTGACGCTGGACAACTCTCGATCCTCTACTTTTCTCTGCGCGTCGTCGTCTTTCTACACTTTTTCTTCCTTTCATCTTTTTTTTCCTTACTTTTACCGTAATCTATTCGATTGCGCGCGGCTGTAGATACGATCGTAGCGGTCCCGAGAACGAGTGCGGTATTATGTTGTCTCCCGTCGCGGCTTAATGCTCGGTAAATCGACGCGGAAAGCGATGAAAGTCGCGAAATTTCGAGGTTTTTAAACGAACATACCTCGGTTTATGGCCGTATTACACCCACGCCTGGAGCACGCGCCAGTTAACTGGAACGCCGGGCGGAGTCTTTCGCAAAATTCCTGATGTCTCTTGTAATGCGATAGCGCGATGCATGACGCTGAGGATGTAATGCCATCGTGAAAGAAGGGATTTCGAGTGAGATCCTATTACTTCGGCGGCGCTTAAATTGAAAGAGCGCTGTTCACGCGATACCAGTTTGAAAGAAGCGGGATTAACGTCCGTCCCTTCCGAAATATTGCATGTAAAGCGGCGTTCTTTCCCGAGTTAATTTATCATACGCTTATAGGGTCACACTTCCCATTTGTGTCTTTTCAATGGTATATTCATTTGACTTGTAAATCGCTCTTATATAATAAGTAGCTGCTTACACAAGTAATATCGTGACGCTGAATGGAAAACATTGTATGGAGCAGCGCGTTAATGTTCTGAAGCTTGTGACACGTTCAGCTACTCGCTCGCGTTTGACGAGGGATTCGGACAAATTGCGATTTTCCGGTAGGGTCGCCCGACGGTTGAAACTTGAAAAATGTCGGCCAATTTTCAGTGCTGCATACCGACTTTTCGTACCTGATGAGCATTTTTCTATCTCATCGTTTACAAACCGTCCCTTCTCGTTTATCACGCGTATCTCGTTTATCACCCTTGTCTAGGAGACACAGAGGAATTTTCCGATTAGTGTCCGAGCTATCGGTTGAGTGTGGCTAATCGCTCGGAAAAGTGTTGCGAAAAATAAATAATAGCATAAGTAACACGCCAAATTAATCAATCACTATAAATACGATAAATTAATAAAAATCGTCACCGAGGATTGCCTCAAAGAACATCTGACCACGTGAAGTTTCCTACTTCGACGTTTGCTCGGTACAGATTTATGACAATTTCATGCTTCGCGCATTCATCTTCAGACGCTTACATTTAACTAACGCGTTAAGTGAAATACGTACGCCACAATGTCGTGTTGCGCCGAAAGCGACAACGTAGGTACGTTATATCCACGCTGCGGGCACGAAGCGAGCAGTAGAGAACTTCGCGAAATGGGTTAGCGGAATGGACGCGGAAATGGGCTTCGAATATTGAAACTCTTAATTTACATACCGTCCGCCCGCCTCTGCCATCAAATTATTAGAAAGTTTAAGGACACTCGCGGCGAATGCTAATTCCCAACCGCCCGGTCGAAGGGTATAAAGATTCCCGGTAGCTCCATCGAAGCGGTAATAGACTCCATAAGCAAGTCTCGGCAGGTGCTCAGAAGTTTTACTCACCTTTTCCAAAGGTAGAGGCGAAAGTTTCTCAAAACCGGAGCGTCCTCGAAAGACGAAATGCGGGTGAAAGAAGGCCACAAGCGCGTGAACTGAGAGAGGAGCTACGAAAACGTTCCTTTGTTCGCTGTGTGATCTCACGGTTACTTAAGCGGTGCATCATTAATATTTAGTCAGCTCCTCCTCTGATTTATGTCGCAATATAATACGACAAAGAAACCAAAACGCTTACAGTTTTATAAATAATCGCTTTAAAGTAAATAATTACTTCCGTAATTTTTGATCGTCCTGTTAAACCGGAAATTTATACGAACATTGTTACGAACGTTAAATTAATAAATCTACTGTATCGCTAGTTTTTCCCATGAGAGCATAAAGCTTTTTACGAGTCTTCATTCGACTTTCGGTATTCTCTTTCTTCAGAACTACTTGAATCTTCGACGCCCAGGAGGTATCAGGCAGTAGTGCAAGACTGCGCCGGAATAGTTCAGCTCTTTCTCGAAAACGGCGCGAAAAGGGAGAGAAAGAGATAAACCGTGCGAGAAGGTCTTCACGAGGATAGGTGCAGGGAAGTCCCGGTTTCCGCGGGCTTATCGCGCACGGCGTCTACGCAGAAATACGTTTCGAGTGGCATAATACAAAGATTACGCGAAGGACGTGACTTAACATAACTCAATGAAGCTCAGACCGAGTTAATTAAATCCAAGGGCGGTCGACGAAGCGCAGGGAAGATAAAGGCTGGCGGATGGAACGATGGGAGACGGAGACAGTGCTGAGCGCGAAGCGCGTGTTACCATTATCGAAGCGTCGTTTTCTCACCCCGCTCCACTCCCTCTTTCTTTCCTCTCATCTCGCTCGCTCTACGTACATATATGTATATATATATATATCTTTATCGTTTCCCCTCACTCTTCAGCGCATTACGCGAGAGTGTACATGTCAAACCTCGTAAACGCGTTGGAAAGTCGCGGCGGTAGTGGTGTGCGCGACGGAGCGCGTGCAGGTGGATGGATGCGCTCAGCGGCGCGCCCTCCACCATTTCCGTTCTGCGCGAAGCTTCACAGGGCTTGCGAAGTGCTCTCCACCGACCGTCGCGTATATCAAAGCGGGTTAAGGACTCCCCCGCGCATCACCGTCCCGCTCGCGCGAGAGTCACTTATACTTCCGCCGTTCACGCGCGCCCGCGGCCCACTGGCGAAATAATATTTCGCGTAATCTTCCGCGCTCAAACGAAACTTGAGTGGATGCAAAATGCGCGTAAATGAGGTGCCCGCCAGGCCCTCCCGTCGAGTGTACGCTCGCACTGATATACCGACGACACTTTTTAGTGCGCCTGCCTAACAGAGAACGTGTCTCCAAATTGTTATCGTTCTTTTCCCATGCGTTCTCCTCGACATCAGATTATTTTTGTGATAACACGGAAACCCGCTGGTTCGATAGATTATAACAATGTGACGGCAATTATTGACATTTGTAATTTAATTTTCGGTAGTCTATCCTTCTTGGGCGATGTCCAATAATTATATCAGCGTCAAATTAACGATTTGAAATGAAATTTTTACATAAGTTCTTCTATTTTAAGATCCAAAGTCTGACGGGTTTTTCTTGAATGAGTAAAATATTGTATTTCGCGAAAGGTATAAACGACGAACCTTATAAAAATTGCAGGATAATCCGTGGAAAAATGGCGGTAATTTTTTATTTAAGCTCTTACATCGGGTAAAAGGCATATATAAAGTACGAACCGCGACGTAACCGTTACGAGTTTCGCGAATTTACATTCAGAAGTATTTTCGCGCTCCGGATATTTACGGAAGTAGCATGAACTTGTAACGAAGGAATTCAGAACAAAGGACAGGATGAGCCGGGGCGCGCGGTCTGAGATGATAAAATATTATTGCATCACGCGGTTTTACGCGGTAACCGGAAGATAATACGCTGGTAATTCACGTCTTCCTACCCAGCTCAGCCTTCGTAACTGTTTGTTCCAGACGGACGTTTATATCCGGTAGCGTGTAGCTTAATACAATTCTCCACAGCCTTAGATATCGTCTACTTACCTCGAGAACGATCTCCTTTAAAGGGAATGTAGGTGACACAGCTTCGCCGTCGATATCCCCTTGTCCACCCCGCCGCGCTCGATTCCCAGCTCCGCGTGTAGCAATAAAACCCACAACCGGATATTCATTTCGTGGCCGGATAAGAAAAACCTGTAACGAAAGAAGAATTGCTCAAGTTTTATTCCGTCCGGACGTAAAGCGATATTTTCCGGGTCGGACGCAAAGAATACCGCAACGAGGCTAATTCGGCATAGTTTACGTCGGCGAGGTAAAAACGGGCGAAACTTTACAATGCCGCCGTAGTCCGCGATACGCCGAGTGATACTTCGTACGCGCGGAGCAAAACGATCCACTTTTAACTTAAATTAATACAATAAGCATTAAGTGAGAAACTCGAGATCCCGTAACCGAAACAATAAAAAGATACAAGAAGATATAAGAGAAGTTCGATGCTTTCATCTTTTCTTAATAATAACCGACGTATTTGGCGTTTGCTGCTCATAGAACAAAGTATAATTACAGCAACGAATTTACGTTCGCGAGTAAGAGATATTCCTTTCTGTCTCATAACGTCTGTTCACTGTTTGTTATTACGTTGAAATGTTCAACCGTGTCATAACAGTGTACGCGCGCGCGACATTTCCAATGATTAAGCTGTGCTTTCGCAATCAGCGAGGCGGACAACAAACTCCTTTCCCAAGGACGTGCATGGCGAACCCATCGGACGAAGCGACGGCGCGCGCGGTGGCGCACGTCGTCGCGATTACGGGCTAATTATCGTCGAGTTAATAAGCCGCGGCAACAATCGCACTGGGAAAACGTGCTCGCCGCCGAGAGGGAATTTTACGCGGAGCTTGTTGTTGCCAGCGAGCGGCTGGCGTCGCCGGGGACAATCGTCCGCAGAGAAGCAGCCGGTTACACACCGCTAACCGGAATAGGTCAGAAGTTGAAGCAATTAGCCCAGTTTGTCGCTCGCACGGAAAACAATGCCGGAAAGTTGTTAACGATGTCACGCCGACCGCTGCGTTCTCCACTTTAAACGTTGTTTCCGGCCAAATTCGCCTATGCCCGTCCATCTCCCCTCTGGATCTTCCTCTCCCTTCCCTCTCACTCCTCTCTTACCCATATGCATACACTATTCCGCTGCTCCTTCTGTCTCCCGCTGACGTCAGATCTACTCTAATTATAAACAAATAGAACTATGTTGTTCATATATGGCGCCGTTTGCAGAGCAGACAATGGAGATCTCGGTTATTTACTCGTGATAATCGTTGGATTAATAAGTATTTTGTTACTTTGATGGATGAACGTTTCCCCGCAGATCTCTTTGTACAACATCTGGTTTGCACGGTAAGAACGGAATTTCCGCCGTGATTGCGCTAATTACACGAAACATCGTATGCCTGCAATTAGATCTCATCCGCCTGCTAAGAGGCTTCGTTTTTCGCGCAACTCCGCCGAAGACGTTAAGGGATGCCTTTACGACTGTCGTAATATTAGTCGAGTGCCGAAAGCCGATTCGGATGAAGAAGCATCCGCAGTTGTGAGCGGCGCGATGTTTACTGCAGCTAACGGTACGGGCACGGCGTTTAATGTTTAATTAGGTCGGCACACTGGCGTCGCTGTGCGCCGCACAATTAAGGAAACATTAGGTAGCTAAGGACGTACTAACTGAGAGATTAGAAATTTGCCAAGGATTGTGTTATTAACCTGCGTTATTTCACTTAGGAAAATCAAGAACTTGTCCGCTTTGTGCCACTCGTAAACTCTTTCGTAAATAGAAATATTGCGTGATACACGCGCTCTAAATTTTACCTCTATATTTACGTGTTGTAATAAAGATAATAATTTTATATAAAATAAAATAAAATAATGATGACGAGTATAAATTTAAATATAAACATATATATAAATATAAACATATATATATATATATACAGAAAATATGAATATACCTTGTTTATTAGAATGATTAATCTCTGCGCTGTTACGCAATTCAAGTTAAAATTCACAAATTGTCAGTGAGAGTGGATTGTATTTCAGCGCAATGTTAATAATGGTACAATCACCTGAAACACTCATTTATGTCGGACTTCAATCACGTGATAAAACTGCTCTCTATATTGTCGAAAGAAATTTTAATTATGAGAAGCGTTGGAACGTCGAATGTAGGGCAACGACAACGACCTATCGATTTTTACACGACATCGCGAATGCAGAGCGCCCCGAGTTCGAGAGGCGGAGAAAAAATGTCTCCCGACGACTAGCGACGAAGAAGTATAATGACTTTCGTGAGCACATGCGCCGCACCTGGAACTACTTGCTTTAAATCTGCGTGCGACGGTATCCCGTATTAACATTTTTTGCGAGAGTCCTCCTGCAGGAACAAAAAGTCCGACCATTATGCTAATCGGCAAGGACACGTGTTTGTAATGGCTTATTTTTACTTAGCCGAAAGTAGCGTTACGAAAACGATGCGAGCCCTTCCTCCTCTTTACGGCGCCCTCCCGGCAGGATTACGCACTTCAATTTAAAGCGCTGATTAGTTCGGTCCGTCGCAAGTTCTTTAGCAGGCAATTCGCATATCGAAACTTTTTTTATATCAAATAACGTGTCGCTTTCTCGCAGAAAATCTTCAATACGCAACACAAGCATTAAGCTTTCTAGCTTGTTAATTTCATATTATCGGACATCTTAAGAGAGAAACACGAAAATAATTAAAAATTTAATTACGAGATTACATTAATTTTCATATTTTCTGACTATCTAAATCCAACCGGATGTATCGCTCGTGCGAGAAAATGCGCCGGTTTCCCAGTAATTAATATGCAAACTTTAAATCGATGTAACTGTTTACCGAAATTATAGCACACCAGAAGCTGCGACGATCCGCCGCAGATGATAGTGATAATTACGGCGTTAACTTCTTTCACAAGGAGGAGGTGGGTAGTCGGGGAAGTCGGCGCGAGCAATTAAGCGAAAAGTCGTATAAATATCAGGCGGATCTCGAGCATACGGTTTCCACGAGAAGGTTTAGGCGCAGAGTTAAGTTTTCAACGACCCCCAAGGCTCGAGATGGGGACATCAGATATCGCGAAATGTACGGCCGGAGCTTATTTCCTCCCACGTATTACATTCCAACCGAGCGTTCCGCGTCAGTACAGCCGTGAGCTACAGCAGATCCTTCGCGATTCTGGACGCGGCAAAGTAACGGGAGCGTTTGTATAGAGCTGTAGAGGCAACTGTAGAGCATTAACTGTAGCAGGCAAAAAAGCGGCGAGGTAAAAGTAAACGACGTCAAAGGGAAGACTAAGATAGCGCTGTTCTTGCTTTCATTTCGAATAGTACGTTAATTTTGGAAGAGAAACTCAGAAACATCTTACGATGTTGCAGTTCTTTAAAAATCAGATGGCAACGTATTTTTATGGTTGTTTTCATCTCGACGTTTTCTAATTTTATACCTCAAATTCATGTCATTTTGCTTGAATCTTATATCTATCATTGTTCCGTGCGATTATCATCACGCAAAAATCTGAGAACGCGTTCCAATTCGCTCTCTCGCGTCTTAACGATTAAATTTAATGTCCACCATGGTGATTGCGGATGCATACCTCTTTGTGGAATTATGAGATGACGTTGAAGCTCTAAGAGATTAACCCACTCATGCGCTTTAATGCATATTAAATGGGTCTAAAAGTAACCCCCCCCATTTACGAAATTCGCTCCGTGCCGCAAGAGCTCGGCTTTCCTGCCCTCCTCTCCTTTATGCTCCGTGAAACTTAATAGCAGCCGGAATTTCTTTACAACGCATTACGTCTACAACAATGCATTAGTCGACGCGGTGTATTTACCTCCGCGCGGTGCGAATGCGAATTAAATGTACAGGTACGTCTCGGAAGAAACGCGAAATCTTATTACGCGCGGATTGCCTCCATCCTGCGTGGGTGACAGTTCGTCGAGACTCGCTACGTATTGTACAAGTGGCTCTCCCGTGGTGCCAAAAAATCAAAAGAGTTTTACGAAGGAAGCGCAAAAGAGTCTATCAATCGATTCTCGTGGCAGTTACAATAAGTACAAGGTAAAACTTCCGTATCGCGCGACCGCGAACTCAGAGTGCGGTGATAAGGCACCGCCGTGACGTTTCGCATTTTAGCGTCAACAGCGCAATCCATATATCACCCCGTACATGTGGCCGTGTGTATCGCCTCGTTGGCAGCTTTCCCGTTGCTCTCCAGCAAGCGCGTCCCACCTGGCAGACTGTTACTTAAGAACATCAAGCGGGCCACCAGGCACAGAGGGCCCTGTTGTCCAAGGAGCATCCACGGGCCATCCTCCTCGCAATTCATGCATAAGCTTCCATCTCCATAAAGGAGTTAGTGGTGTCATCCCGGTGGGTACTCATGTTTCATGAGGCTTACCCGCGATACTAAGCTGGTGGCGACCCACATAATGCGCGAGCCAGAACAACGCCTCGGCTAAATAACTCCGTCGAAGCAACCCTCGTCCCTCTTCTCCGGCCCGTCCCGTTTCCCCCTCCTCCCGCGAGAGGAACCATACCCCGTCCCGGCCGTCGCTCTCGCCGTTAACGACTCGTGACTCCGCGCGAACGCCGCGACTTACAAAACACGCGCCGAATATTGTCAACAGCCTGACCTAAAACGCCACTTTTACTACTCGCCTGTCGCGCGCAATCGCCTCGTTACCAGGTAAATTGAAACTTTACGTCCGACGCGATAACGGCTGCTATACTTCTTATCACCCTTACTCAGCGCCGATTGAGATACCGCGATTACACGACTGCGATTCTAAAATTTACGCATGTTTTTACAACGTTACAATCGCGATCCCGAGATTATGCGGGGTTTTACGCATCATTTTACATCGGTTAAACTGAGAAATTTTCTCTCCTTTTTATTCATTGTTCTAAAGCACGCGCTATACATATAGAAGTGTACTATTTTCGGACAGGATTGTGTCGCAATATCAAGTGCGCCGAGTTATACACACCGCGCGCGCCGTCTGACTCATCACGCGACTGTGCTACTTGTCCGCGCTCGCGCTGTTAAGTTACAATTTTACGGCATTAGAGACTGGTGGTAATAGCGCAATCACGAAGTTTTATTACTTCGAGTTTAAGAGAGTGATTACGA